TCCGCGCTATACCCCCCTCCCTGGCGCGCTCCACGCGCAAGGGGCGGCGCCGGAAGCGCCGCCAGGGGGATCCCCAGTGCAGACCCAAGAAATTCGCGCGGAGCGCCAAACGTCCATATCGATGGCGTTTTGTTATTATTGTTGTTGTTGTTGTTGTTGTTGTTGTTGTTGTTGTTGTTGTTGTTGTTGTTGTTGTTGAACATTATTACTTCTAAAGAATAATTATTGTTGGGGCCCCTGGTGCACGACCCCCCCGCCGCGCCTAGGCCGCAGCCACGTTTTCATCATTTTCGTGAGGAAGTCTCAGGCAAAACGGGTTGGTCCGGATCCGGTTGTGTTGTTACGATCGGTTTTCCCTTGCAAAAAATGAGCTAAAGTGGACATTTCTTGTTCTAACATATCCAAACTTCAAGACTCGCGCGCAAGACGAAATCCTTCCAAAACCTTAGTTTTCGTAGCGACTTTAACATAAAAGCATCAAAAGACAATGGTTTTTCAACAAAAAAAAAAGGTGTCAAAATTTCATCCCGCGCGCTCTTGCGGATTTGTAGGAAACCCAACACTTTTAAAACATTTCTGTCAAACGGGCTTTTGCGAGCAACTTTTTCACGTGTTTCGAACTTCTCCAACAACGGTTGCGCACCTGCCAGGGCCATCATCCCTGTCAAATAATACCATGCGGGACACATTCGTTTTTTCTTCGCGCGCGCACGCCGAAATCTTCAAAAACCATTGGGTTTCTTAGGAATTTTAGCACCGCGCAACATAAAATCATACCGTAGGTCCTCGAAAAACATCTGTACGTCCAAAATTTCTACCCCGTAGTCACACAAGTCACTGTACCCATGCGCCAGTGTAGTAGCCACGGTCGTCCGCAGGCCACGAAGTGAAGTGTCCGAACGTCATAGGGCGGAAAGCTGGGTGTGGGTGGTGGCGAAGAGTCGTTTGGAAATGTGGTAGAGCTTGAACCGGCCCCCCCACAAAGTGGGGGTATTGGCGGGCGTCGTATGAAAACCCTGGCACTGGTGAGAACGGAGTGTCCCCACGTGCTAGTAATTGTTGTTGTTGTTGCTTTTGCTGTTGCTGTTGCTGTTGTTGTTGTTGCCGTTGTCGCTGTCGTTGTCGCTGTCGTTGTTGTTGTTGTTGTTGTTGATGTTGCTGTTGTTGTTGTTGTTGAATATTATTACTTCTAAAGAAAAATTATTGTTGGGCCCCCTGGTGCACGCCCCCCTCGCCGCGCCTAGGCCGCAGCCACATTTTCATCATTTTCGTGAGGAAGTCTCAGGCAAAACGATGTGTATCCAGATCCGGTTGTTTTGTTGACGATCCGTTTTCCCTTGCAAAAATTAGCTAAAGTGGACATTTCTTGTTCTAACATAACCAAACTTCAAGAATCCCTTGCAAAAAATAAGGTAAAGTGGACATTCGCGCGCGCAAGACGAAATCCTTCCAAAACCTTAGTGTTCGCAGCGATTTTAACATAAAAACATCAAAAAACCAATGGTTTTTCAACAAAAAAATGTCAAAATCTCATCCCGCGCGCTCTTGCGGATTCGTAGGAAACCCAACACTTTTTAAACATTTCTGTCAAACGGGCTTTTGCGAGCAACTTTGTCGAACTTCTGCAACAACGGTTGCGCACCTGCCAGGGCCATCATCCCTGTCAAATAATACCATGCGGGACACATTCGTTTTTTCTTCGCGCGCGCACGCCGTCGTCGTCGGCCGCGGGGCCCTGAATAGTAGCCACGGTCGTCCGCATGCCACGAAGTGAAGTGTCCGAACGTCATAGGGCGGGAAGCTGGGTGTGGGTGGTGGCGAAGAGTCGTTTGGAAATTTGGTAGAGCTTGAACCGGCCCCCCCACAAAGTGGGGGTATTGCCCGCCTCCTATGAAAACCCTGGCACTGGTGAGAACGGAGTGTCCCCACGTGCTAGTAATTGTTGTTGTTGTTGTTGTTGAACATTATTAATTCTAAAGAATAATTATTGTTGGGCCCCTGGTGCACGGCCCCCCTGCGCCGCCTAGGCCGCAGCTACATTTTCATCATTTTCGTGAGGAAGCCTCAGGTAATTCGATGTGATCAAGATCCGGTTGTTTTGTTCCCCCCCGCTTTCCCTTGCAAAAAACACTATAAAATGACATTTCTTGTTCTAATATAATCAAATTTCAAGAATCCCTTGCAAAAAATAAGGTAAAGTGGACATTCGCGCGCGCAAGACGAAATCCTTCCAAAAGCTTAGTGTTCGGAACGATTTTAACATAAAAACATCAAAAAACCTAATGGTTTTTCAACAAAAAAATGTCAAAATCTCATCCCGCGCGCTCTTGCGGATTCGTAGGAAACCCAACACTTTTTCAACATTTCTGTCAAACGGGCTTTTGCGAGCAACTTTTTCGAACTTCTGCGACAACGGTTGCGCACCTGCCAGGGCCATCATCCCTGTCAAATAATACCATGCGGGACACATTCGTTTTTTCTTCGCGCGCGCACGCCGAAATCTCCAAAAACCATTGGGTTCTTAAGAATTTTAGCACCGCGCATCATAAAATCACACGAATCGCACCGTAGGTCCTCGAAAAACACCTGCACGACTTTTCAAAATTTCCACCCGCGCGCGCTGTCCGAACAACTTCTGTGGGTGTGTACACCACGCCAGTGTAGTAGCCACGGTCGTCCGCAGGCCACGAAGTGAAGTGTCCGAACGTCATAGGGCGGGAAGCTGGGTGTGGGTGGTGGCGAAGAGTCGTGTGGATATTTGGTAGAGCTTGCACTGCCCCCCCACAAAGTGGGGGTATTGGCTGGCGTCGCATGAAAACCCTGGCACTGGTGAGAACACTGAGCGTTCGGGTAAAGTGATTGTTGTTGTTGTTGTTGTTGTTGTTGTTGTTGTTGTTGTTGTTGTTGTTGTTGAACTCTCATTCTTGAAGAATAATTATTGTTGATCCCCCCCCACCGGTGCACATTGATTTTTTTTCGATTGAAGTGCCACCCCCGGGGCTCGCACCTTGTTTTTTCTCAAGGAAAGTCTTCCTGCTCAAACTGTGCCCCTGCCCCCCGGCTACAACAACAACGGCTCCCGCCTGAGACTTCCTCGATTTTTACTCAGGACCCCCGCTCCCGCCTGAGACTTCCGCGCAATCCCACCAGCCCTCTGGCGTAGGTGTCTAGAGCAGATCCTCTTCCACCCCTCCCTCTTCCCCCTTGGGGAGGGGTTTACCCCTCCCCCTACCCCCTCCCCTGGACCTGGACGGGGGGGGCCGCGGTAGTTAGAGCGTCCAAGATGGCCCAAGACGGCTCCAAGAGCGCCTCAGAGAACCCAAGATGAGCTCCAAGATGGCTCAAGATAGCGCAAGATCGCTCACGATGGCTCCTAAGATGGTTCCAAGAAGCCCAAAGACGGCCCCAAGATAACTCCAAGTGGCCAAACAGCTCCCCAAGGAGGCCCCGAAGAGGCCAAAATCGTCCCAAAACCTAAGGAAAATCAATGATTTTGCTTTCTCGCCTTTTCGCTTCCGATGGCCATCCGAGGCCTGGAGATGGCTCCAAGATGGCCCAAGAGGGCCCCAAGAGAGCCCCAAAAGAGCCCCAAGACGGCCCCAAGAGCGCCCAAGAGCACTCCAAGAGCGTTCCAAGAGGGGTCCAAGAGGCGATTTTAGGGGCTTCCGAGGGGGGGCGCTAATTCACCCCCCCCTCTTGTTTGATCGACTCCCTCCAAGATGGCCCCAAGAAGCGCCCAGGAAGCCCCAAGAGGTCCCAAGATGGCCCCAAAATGGCCCCAAGAGGCCCCCAAGAGGCCCCCCGGAGGCCCCCAAGAGACCCCCAAGAGGCCCCAAGAGCCCCCCCAGATGCACCCAAGATGCTCCAAGAGGCCTCGGCGAGAATGCCTAATCATTGATTCTACACAGGTTTTAGCCACATGGAGGCCTCTTGGGGGGGGGCACGGATTAAGATGACTCCAAGAGCGTCTGGGAGAGCCCAAAATGACCTCCAAGATGGCTCAAGATATCCCAAGATGTCTCATAATGGCTTTCCTCTGTGTGCTGCCCACTTCTCTGATCGAGGCAATTCCTCTGGGCATCGTTTCTGGATGGGCTGGTGGGGATTCGCGAAGCGACAACAATTTACTCAGGAAAGGCGCTCCCGTCTGAGACTTCCTCGCAATGTAATCAAGACCCCCGCTCCCGCCTGAGACTTCCGTGCAATTTACGTGGGAACGGCGCTCCCGCCTGAGACTTCTTCGAATTTTACTCAGGACCCCCGCTCCTGCCTGACATTTCCGCGCAATTGACTCAGGAACGGCGCTCCCGCCTGAGACTTCCTCGCAATTTAGTGAGGACCCCCGCTCCCGCCTGAGACTTCCGTGCAATTTGCTCAGGAACGGCGCTCCCGCTTGAGACTTCCTCGCAACTTAGTCAGGGCCCCCGCTCCCGCCCGAGATTTCCTCACAATGTACTCAGGACTGCGCTCTCGCGTGCGACGTCCTCACAAATTATTCTGGAATTGCGTTTCGGCGCACAGGAACCACGCACGCGCCAAGGACGCCTTCACAACGTGGTATCTTCCCTCTTCATTCGTCCTTCCCCCTCCCCTTCCTCCCACTCTCCCTCGTTCTTCCCCTCCTCCTCTTGCAGGGCCCGCGCCAATTCCAATGGCGGGCAGAGAGATGTACGCCCCCGAAGGATTGTCCGCCCGTTCCGGTTTGCCCGTACGTCTAAGCCCGCCGGCCCCAGCAAAGAGAAATAATCCCCCCGAAAGGGGTGTGATCGAAGAGACGAAGAAGGCGGGTTTCGAGGGTGTAGGGTATACGTGTTGAATGACTCGCGGGCAAGTAAGAGCGTACAGCCTTAAAATGGTTGTTGTTGTTGTTGTTGTCGATGTTGTTGTTGTTATTGCTTCTTCTTCTTCGAGGCCACCACACCGCCTGGGGGAGAGCCCCCCGGTCCTCGCCCGCACGTGCCTCGTGCCCCCGCGCGGCGGGCGGGCGGCGGGTGCGAGGCCTGGCAGCTGCGGCAGTCCGGGCAGGCCGCCGGGCAGGGCGGCCATGCCTCGAGGCACGCCGCCGAGGCCAGGGATCCCCCTGGCGCGGCCCGCCACGCCCTCTGTCAGATCATGTCGTTGTGGAGCGTCGTCGGCGACCGAGAAGCACCAAAGTCGTCGACCACGACGCTGCCGATGACGACGCCGACGACGACGGCGCCAACGCCGACGCCGAGGACGACGGCGATCGTCGTCGACGGCGCCAACGCCAAAGACGCCAAAGCCCACGCTGGCGGCGGTGGCGAGGTGCGTAGCGACGACCTCGACGACGGCCGGATGTGGTCGTCGTTGATCGTCGTCGAGGTCGTCCTCGGGCCAGGGCCGCGCCGACGAACCCTAAAAAGTGTAGTCGAACGTCTCTCGGATTTTTTTGCTTCTTGAAGGCCGCGTCGTGGCTGCTGGGGCTGTCAATGGGGGCCTCCCAGATGCGGTCCGAGTAAAAGGGGTCGGCGGATCGCGCCGCATCGCCGATGCATCGGCGACGCGGCTCAACGTGGAGCCTGATTTTCTCCACGCCGGCGTCGCCGATGCGTCGCCGATGCAGAAGCGGGTTCTTCGTCCTGGGTCGCTTTGTTGACGGCCCCGGGGCCTGGAAAGGGCCCCAAAGGCCGAGGATGACGAGAAGCTGCATGGCCGTCGCGATTTTTGTGGCCACGCCCGGATACGGGCAAATGCGTCGAGGTCCCCGCGACGTTCTGGCCACAACCCAGGAGGATCGGGAACGGCAGGTTCACGCCACGATGACGTCGGCGCTTCCAATTCTCAGGGGCAACAGCAGGGGGGACCGGCAGCAAGGGGGGGGGGATACATCGACCCAGAATCGACGACACATCGCCGATAGATCGGCGGCAGGCCCCCGATAGCGACACCGCACGCTCCTGGGCGAGGTGGGCAGTCGGGCCCCTATCAGCGATCAATGGGCGATTAGGGGTCGAGTCGATGCATCGCCCCCCCTCAGCTCACCTCCCGCTGGCGTTGCTCTCGGGGCACAGCTCGGCTCTCCCTGGCGGCCGTGCGGGACGGTCCGAGCACCCCCCAGAGACGCTCTCGGCGAGGCGCCGCTGCCGGAGAGCACCCGAGGGCAGGAAGACGAGGACCGTCCTGCAAAGTGCAATTCTGCATGATATCAGGGAAACAAGAAAACGGCAAAAATGCGGCAATCGTAGCGGCAAGCAGGCCATGCAGGCCCGTGCTAAAGGACGGGAGTCATCTCATGATAAGGTCAGCGCAGGATGCAGGATTGCCGCCGCAGCAATCGGCCTCCACTTCTGCAGCCCGTATGGGCACGTGCGGGAATGCGTGCGGGGAATCCTGGGAATCCTGGAACGCATCATCATCATGACCTCTTGCTCCTCTGAAAAACTGACTAGGATTAGGTCGGGCATGTCCCCCTACAGGCGGAACATGCAGGAAAAGCATTGCCAAACCATACCTCTAGATGGTCTAAGAATATTCAACATGGTTAAACAATACTCCGAGCATCGTCCCCAGACCATTTTTGGACTATTCTTGAACATTCCTCCTGTAGAGGGACAGGCCCGACTTACGACTGGGACCAACGAACACGCCCTCGAACCCGAAGGTCCGCATGACCGCTGCCCCCACGGACGCTACGCCTGGCGCAGGGCCCCAGCACCGTCGACGCCGCCAGGCCTCGGCCGCGAGAGAACTGCGCGGGTCCACGCTGCGTCGGCACCGGCGCCTGTGCTTCCTGCACCGCGCGGGCCTCCCAGCTCTACTCATCAGGTCGGGCATGCCCCCCCACGGGCGGAATCTGGACGAACAGTGCGAAGCATGGCCAACAGATGCTACACAAAAAATGAGAACGTGCTCCACAAATCGTCCCCCTATATAATTTTTGGGGATACGTTTGAAAACTCCTCCTGGCGAGGGACGTGCCCGACTGAAAATCAGCGCCCCACAAACGGGGACTCCACTAACGGGTACTTTGGCCAGTGACCCAGCGAACACAACCCTTCCCGATGCGGGCAACGCTGCATTGCCAGAAAGATGCCCTAAAGTGGCAACTTTCGGCAAAATTGCAAAGTACCCGTTAGTAAATACCCGTTACGGTGCCGTCGGGGTCGCGCCCCCTCCTCCTCGCCGGGGTCTATCCAGGGTATAGCGCTCCGCGCTGCGCGCCCTCGCGCCGCCCCCCTGCACAGGAAGCGCCGTCCAGCCCGTGGCGGGAAGCGCGAGGCACGATCCCTGGCGTCGTCGTCGTCGTCGTCGTCGTCGTCGTCGTCGTCGTCGTCGTCGTCAAGGTCGTCAAGGTCGTCGTCAAGGTCGTCAAGGTCGTCGTCGTCGTCGTCGTCCTCGTCGTCGTCGTCGTCGTCGTCGTCGTCGTCGTCGTCGTCGTCTGCGTCGTCCTCCGTGGTTCTGCTCTGGACGGCGCCACTGCCACGCCGTCCAAGGCCTGGTGTATCTGGACATGCGCACGGCAGAGCCCAATCCGTGTGCGCACAGTCGAGCGTGGCAGGAGACTCACGCAGCACGACGATGTCCTCCCCCTCCTCCTCCTCCTCCTCCTCCTCCTCCTCCTCCTCCTCCTCCTCCTCCTCCTCCTCCTCCTCCTCCTCCTCCTCCCAAGACAAAGGCAGGACGAAATTATAACCAAGTGAGGATAAATCGGTGATCTCTGAGATCCAGCGGCTCTGGAGGATGTGTCGGGCGCCGCGGCCTTCTCAGAGCGTTCCAGCACGCTCTGAGAGCGTTCCGGAACAACCTTGAACGGAATTATCCTCGTCCTGGCCCAGCTCTGACCCTATGTTCCCTGGGCGAGCCGTCCAATCTTGCGCGCGTGCCATGGCCGGGTCGGACAAAGGGAAGGGTAGTAAAGGGAGGTCGGGCATGTTCTCCTACAGGGCGATTTTGGAGGGATACTTAATGATATCGGAGAAAAACCCAATCATAATCTTTTTAGGGCTTCAGGGCTATGGAGCTATAAGGCTATAGGGCTAGAAGGCTATGGGGCTATAGGGCTACAGGGCTACAGGGCCATAGGGCTATTGGGCTATAGGGTTATGGGGCTGTAGAGCTGTAGGGCTATAGGGCTATAGGACTATAGGGCTATAAGGCTATAAGGCTATAGGGCTATTAGGGCTATAGGGCTATAGGGCTATATAGAGCTATATAAATCTATATAGAGCACCTGGGCACCCAGGCACCTGGGCACCCAAGCACCTGGGCACTCGGGCACCCGGCCGCCGGCCACCAAATCGGCGCCGCACCTCACCTAACCATATGAATCCGCTAGGACCCCTACAGGGGCAAGCTCTGATTGGGGAAAAACAAGTGGCACGCGTGCCCTGGCTCTTGCACCAAGGAGCTGCGAGGGACAGGAGGCATTCGCCTCCTTCCCCCAGGAGTTTCCTTCTGTGGCCGGGGGGGGACGAGCGGCGAATGACGAACGAACGACGAACGAAAATAAAGAAGTCCGAGCTCTAGAACACAGCTGTGCAAGAAAATAAAATGGTCGGGGCGGAGGGGGCGCTGGGCGGGCGCTGGAGCCGCGGGGGCGCTGAGACGGCGCGGGGGAGGGGGCGGGGCGGGGGGGGGTGCGGTGCCGAAATAAAGTGGTCGGGGCGGAGGGGGCACTGGGCGGGCGCTGGAGCCGCGCGGGGGCGCTGAGACGGCGCGGGGGAGGGGGCGGAGCGGGGGGGGGGGCGCGGTGCCGAAATAAAGTGGTCGGGGCGGAGGGGGCACTGGGCGGGCGCTGGAGCCGCGCGGGGGCGCTGAGACGGCGCGGGGGAGGTGGCGCTGAGACGGTGTGGGGGAAGGGGCGGAGCGGGTGAGGGGGTGCGGTGCCGAAATAAAGTGGTCGGGGCGGAGGGGGCGCTGGGCGGGCGCTGGAGCCGCGGGGGCGCTGAGACGGCGCGGGGGAGGGGGCGGGGCGGGGGGGGGTGCGGTGCCGAAATAAAGCGGCCGGGGCGGAGGGGGCACTGGG